TTGTATTCATCCCCCCCTTCTACAAACTGTTTAGTATTCTTGTAGACCCTTTTGGGACCAACAGTTATTGTCTAATATTTCAAATTAAGATTTGTGCGACAATTATTATGTTTAAATTCAATTTATTTTCCTGTCTAAATATATTTCAATTATGAAATTTGTATTTTTGCCATGTCAACAATTAATCATACATAATATTTGATAAATAGTTGCATTAGTTTAAACATTTCATCACATATAGGGTTATAATGGTCATTTTTTATTAGTCAGCACCAAATTTTGAATACTTGGTAAACAATTTTTTTACAAACAACACATACTCCAGTCAGCGATGCTTACTCTAATCAGACCTCTTATTTCAGACAGTGCTTACCAGCTACTTTTGGTAAACAGCCCCTTAGTTTGTAGACCGCACTTTTGAGTGAGATATAGGTACGCTTGGTTTCTTTTACATAATCACTACAACAAAATTGGATTTATAGGACACCCTGTAATCTGTAAGCGTCCCAATAGACCGTTTTATAGGACTTAATTTATAGGACCAAAATATAAAGCGTTTTCTGTTTATAGGACTTGGTATTGTAGCCAAGACGTACCATCTTCTGTTTCGACCTTCATTTGGGGATACTTTAAAGGCGAGGGTCTTGGATTGGTACACATGACTTCATACGTGACCTAGGGTTGCATATAAAGTTGCAAGAATGCATATGCTTGATTTTAAACCCCTTTTGGCTTCAATTTTGTTAAGCTCTTCATACCACTTCATCTCCAGGTGATTTTGCAAGATATTTAGGTGCATTTCGGAGGGATCAGTCTTCACGACTGTAGTATCTTTGTGAAGGTAAAATCTATTATTATCGTTTCATCTGTTTGTCATCAATATGAAAGCTTCGACTCTTATCTTTGGATATATAGTATCTCAAAATAGTGGAACCACATTAAATCGTTGTGTTGTTTGTGTTTTCTTGGAATTATTTTTTGGATATCTATTTAGCATTGCATTATGATATGATAGGTACATTTGAACATATTTGGTTGGGTTGCTAATTGGCATATTTGATAGGAGGGTTTACACCCCCTAAATCTTACCACGAGTATACAATGTCGACTCAAATAATAAGTAAAGTAAGTACGAGTATGGAACCAAAGGAACTAGATACTAAGTATCGCAATGATTACACTCACTATTAACTAGACGGTCAAATTTGGATGATAACTGAATGATTAAGATCTAGTTAAATATTGGGAGAACTGAACAATTTCAGAGAATGGAAAACTAGAAACTTTGAATGAGAGAAAAGTTGTTGGGAGTTGGAATCCTATTGGGTTTCACATAGAACACTTCAATTCGAATAGTTATCAAGTTAATCATTCAATAAATACACAATCACAGTATTTCCTATTACTCCCTCTCGAGTTATAACAAGTTTATATCTGAAAAAGCATATTTCATCTCTCGATCTCAACATACAACCTCTAGAATATATTTAGACCAAGATTGTAAATGGTACTAGGGTTTAATTGATATATCTCTACCCAAGTTCTCGCCCTAGGCATACAATTTACAAATTGAAGTTAGTTGATCAATAAATTAATTGATAGTTGATCACACTAACAACAACATTAAAAATATATCATATGCTTCATCAAATTGACAAACCCAACTTACATGTCCGTATGCTTAATAATAAATAATCATCCAACCCCCAATATCTAAAGATTAGTTCATGTTGGTATGAAAAAACAATGAAAGAATAATTCATAGTTCTAGACATTGTGTTCAATAAGAAATCTAAAAGCATATAAAACTCTCTTTCATGATGATTCTCCATGAACAAGTAATATAACCAATCTTCGAACTCCAATTCTGATCTGATTCCCCGCGTTTTATAGCTCTAAAAAAGTGTGCTTTCATCTCCCCAAAATCGACTCCACTAGGTCTAGTCGAATCTGTGATAATGCCCCCTTTTCTGATTCAGTCGACATGATTTAGAAGACAAAGCAGAAGGTTGCACGGCTTCGCCCACGACTTGAGGTTGGGGGAAGGGTGGATGTTGGAGGAGTGCACACCTTCAAGCCGTAGAGTTGCCAGCGCAATTTGCTCATTTTATCCAAATTTCAACACTAATTTGCTCATTTTGTCCCTTCTTCCTAAGTGTTTCTTCTTGAAGTTTAATTTCTTTGATTTTTGCATTAGAAAACAACTTACCCTTGATTTAAGTTAATATCTGGAATCCTGTATAAACTTGAAAGTAATTGTTAAAACTACGCTTTTTTGCTTGGAAACAAGCCAGAACTACTTGAATTATGGTATCAGAATAACAACAAAATTGGCGTTATCAATAACCCTAAACCGAGCGTTACTTGTCGCCAAGAAAATTAGCGATCAGGAAAGGTTTAAGCAATTCAAACAACTTCATGAAACCCAAGCGGGTAACTTATTAAAACCTATGCCTCGTAATCAGTGATAAAGGATCTAGTATTGATTGTGCTTCCATATCGGTCAACCAAGGCCAGTTCATTAAGAATCAAACTAAAGACATCTACATCAGTGCTAAGTATTACCAACTAAACAAACACCAAGAGAGGATTTCGCCTTGACCCTACCTCACAGGATGAGTATTAGGTTTTTACATAATATAACCCATGCAATTTGAGGTTATGGACAATGAAGTTCAAGTTTTATCTGCATGACAGATAACTATGAAAAAATGCACGATTGTAGCAAATGAAATGTCATAAAGGAATCTAGTAGTAATACAAGGAATACTAACAAAATACAAGTTCACAATTGTTAAGTTTTCCAAAAGATCATCCATGTCTTTGATGGGTTGTAATGGGGCTATAGGGGATGACTCAAGAACTGATGGCTAAGGACGAACAAGGGATCCTTAGTGTATCATATTCTGAAGGGTCCTTTGGGGGCGTTTGGTTAGCAGAATGATTTTTGAAGGAATGAAATATGTCAAAGGAATTGTAATCTGGAAGGAATTGGAATGGAATGTTATTAGGTTTGACCAAGTGTTTGGTTGGCAGGAATGGAATGCAATCTGTTTAATGAATTGGAATCTGCCTGTTTGGTTTGTAACTGAATTGGAATGGAATGATGAAAAAAGACAAAAAAAATACCCTCTCTTTGATATTTTTGTAAAATTGGATATGAAAGCAAACTCATTCGTATTTTCAG